TTGGCGACCAATGTCACAAAATATGTTATTTTTTTTTAATTGTTGCTTTAAGTGAAAGTTTACAATTCAAGTTAGTCTCTCATACAAAAATTAATACATACATTGTTATGTGACCCTTGTTGCTCTCCCATACTGTGAAAGCACACTCCTCCTTTCCGCCCCGGATTTCCCGTGTCCATTGAACAACCTCCTGACCCTCTCTGCCTTCTCATCTCACCTCTGGACAGGAGCTGCCCATTTAATCTCATGTATCTACTTTGTATTAATTGTTTAATGAGAAAGTAATTTGTTCTGTAAACCTTCATCTAAAGTACAATAAAAAAAAATTAATCTTTTCCATAATAAAAAGAGAGAGAGAGATTAAACAAGCGAGCAGAGGAGAGATGGGGTAAGAGAGATGCCAAGACACTTGCAGATCTCCAAGAAGCCAGGAAGCAGAAGCTGAAGAGACAAGGACCTTCCTCCAGAGTCAACAGAGAGAAAGCCTTCCCCTAAAGCCGGCACTCTGAATTCAGACTTGTAGCCTCCTAAACTGTGAGAAAATAAATTTCTGTTTGTTAAAGCCAAAAAAAAAAAAAGAAGAAGAAGAACAAAGAAGGAACACAGAAAAATGAAAGCTTAACTGTGAACTGCCAGAAGAATGAACAAATCGGTCTTAGAAGAAATACAACCAGAATGTTCCTTAGAAGCAAGGATGGAGAGACTCTGGCTCACTTACTTTGGACACATCATCAGGAAAGGCCAATCTCTAGAAAATGACATCATGGTTGGTAAAGTGGAGGATTGGCAAAGGCAAGGGAGGCCCTGAGATGGATAGTGGTCAAAACAATGGACTCAAACATAGCAACCATCATGAAGATGGTGCAGGACTAGGCAATGTTTCACTCTGTTACACAAACGGTTGCCATGAATCAGAGCCAACTCGATAGCAGCCAACAACAAAGGTAACAGGACTGATGATGATTTTTTTTGTTAATAATTTCTCTTAGTATAGTTATAATTAGTGAAATAAACAAATATGAAGAAGGGAAAATGATTCTCCTTAATCCAGACCCTCGAGTTCCAATCACTGTAGTCCCTTCCACTCCTCCCCAGGTACCTAGGGCCCTAACACCAGATGCCTGACAGTGAATGTCGGGGTGTCTTCACCTCTGACCTTTGCTTGTGAGAGGGGCACTAGAGCAGAGCACCTAAGAGCAGCTTGTTTGAATCCTGGCTCTGCCAATTGTCAGCTGTGTGATCTTTGGTTAGTTATTTAACCACAGCCAACATTCTAGAACCACCCAGAGTGGTGATACAGCTTACCATGGGCTTTGGTGTCAGACAAACCTGGCTTGAATTCCTCAGTGCTGCTTACCAGATAAATGAACTTGGACAGTTTTCTCATTTATAAAACTGGTAGCTACCTCACTGGGTTACTGTGAGGATTTAACGTCATTGGGTTCTTGTAGGGATCTATGGCAAGGCCCTCACAGAGTGCCTGAACTATAGAAAGTACTCAATCAAATTCGCTGTTATTGTAAGACTTCAGTTTAGCAGAGTTCCTCCACACCGACTCTCAGCCCAGAACATTAAGCTGCTAATGGAACTATCGGGAATACCCTGGTGGCTAGCTTTACTTTCAGCCAATACGATCATAATTCTAGGTCTGAAGCACACACGTCACACTATTCCCCTAACACAAGTATAACCAGGGATAACCCAGGCTTTAAATTCCAAACACGGAGCATGCAGAGAACCTGGGCTTATAAAATGGCACCCTCCAATGGAATATCCTTTGAGTCACATAAATGGATGGATTATGCATCAGCAAAAATGGTCGTTTAGAAAAGCACTGCCTTGAGACTAACAATTCTCAAATTTCCACCAAGAGGAACCAAAAGTTAAATCATGGTGAACAGGGTGGATCTTAGGCAAAAATGACTAAAACTCATTGTACAAAGAAAGCTGCTACCAATCTGATACTGTAATCTGCCTAAGGCTTGCGTTGTGTTATCAAAATAAAGGGGAGGAGGTCTGCCTGGATTTAGAAAAGGAGAGACAAAGAGATGATGATGACAGCAGCTAGCAGGTACCAAGTGTTTAGCAAGACCTTGCTAAGCTGTTGACATTCATTGATTCCTTTAAAATAAGTTGTTATGCTTATCCTCATCTAATGGATGAGGAAACTGGGGTTCAGAGATTAGGAAATTTCATCCATAGCCAGCAAGTAGTGAAACCAGAAACTGACTTTTTTTCATGATACTAATGTCAGAGCACTCTTAGCCATTGTCCTCACTGTGTGGAGACAGAAAAAAAGGTCCTGGATCCCATGGAGATGCAATCCTGCTTAACCAAGCAGGATCTCTATGCCCCAACAAGCACCCCAAATCCAGATGCCATGAGGCCTGTGTGAGGGACACCCTACTTATGCTAAGTGCCTCAGAGGACAGACTTTATTATAGGGTTCCTTCTGTAGAATCACCTGTGCAAAACAAACAATTGTTTCTACTTCAGAAATATTTCTCGAAATTATCTGCAAAAACACTCAAAACACAAACACACTTCCAGTTTGAGAAACGCCAGATGGGTGATAGCAGCTTTGCCACATATAGGTAACCTCTCTGTCCCCCAGCACTACCACCCTCTCCTCTAGGAAACCAGCTGCTATGGGTTTCACTGATGCCCAGAGACAGGGTCCAGGCTCAGGAGTCCACACCAGTTTCCACAGGGTTGATAGACCCAGCAAAGGGAACCCTCTTGCCTGGCCCAAAACTTGAAATATGCACCCCACTTCCCAAAGAGTCAGGGGACAGTCTAAAAACAACTTGAGGGCAGCGAGAAGTCCTGTTCCAGAGATCTTAGACTTGCTAAAGTCACTTCAGAGCTAAGGGAACCTGGCCTTCTGGCAGACTTAGAAGGGGACCTTTTCTGCTCCAGTGGAGATTGTTTTCCTTAACTACAAGTTATTCTCAGGGGGAAAAAAAAAAAGTTAACAAAAGATTCTTTGAAGGAAAAAAAGAAGAGACGAGAAGAAGGAACCATCTATAGCTCTGGGTACAGCTGGGATAGTGGGGCTGGACAGCAGGCCTTCAGCAGAAGTCTCCGCCGCATGGCCCTGGTCGTAGGAGGAAGCCCTGTTCCATTCAGGCCATGGAAAATGGTGGGCCCCCAGGGGAGCTACTCCTATCCTCCTAGGTGGCTGAGCCAGCTGCCCTCAAATAAAGAAAGGACAACTTCCAGGGGTATTAAGGAGAGCAGACAGTGCAGGGCAAGAAAACAAGCTGGGAAGAGACAAAGGCTCACGTATGTTGCTGGCTCTGAGGACCTAGCTCTACCTTCTGAAGAGAAGCTTGAGTCTCTCCAACCTTATGTTCACTTGGCTCAAATTCAAAGAAGTAAATTATTTTAGTGCCTTAGGTGTGTCTCCCAGGTGCCACACCCAATCCTCCCTGGGGAGAAAAAGACAGACATATGAGAAGGTTAGCAAGAGAAGGTTGATCTGGGACCCTCTGAGGGCCTTTAGAAGTTTCCTTACCATCCTGGAGGCTCTTAAGTGAGAATTCCACCTGCCAGCCATCTCTTAGAGGAGCCCTGATGGTGCAGTGGTTAAAGCGCTCAGCTGCTAACCAAAGGGTCAGCGGTTTGAACACACCAGCTACTCCACAGGACAAAGATGTGGCAGTCTGCTTCCGTAAGGATTTACAGCCTTAGAAACCCAATGGAGCAGTTCTACTCTGTCCCGTAGAGTCTCTATGAGTCAGAATCAACTTGACAGCAGTGAGTTTGGTTTGGATTTGGTCATCTCTCTTAGCTTGGTCCAGAAGTATCTCCTCCTAGAAGCAGCACTTCTGTTCTGTGGACATACCTTACTGTTATGTATGTACTTTTCTATGTCCCCATCCCCTCTCAGAATGCTGGACATTTATGTGAGTACAACAAGTAACACTCCCTTCCTTGCTCTGTCAGCTGGCCAGTTAGCCCACCACTGTCAAACTCCTCTGAACCGACAAATGAAACATGGAAGATCAAATGCTC